CCAGACTTTGAGATTTGAAGTAACGATACAAAATTTGAAGAAATGATACAGAATTTTAGATTTGAAGAAACTGTACAGAATTTCATGGATAAATAGCAGTTCAGCAACGTCATAAGTCAGTACAAACTTTACAAGAACTGAAGGAACTTCTTTAAAACAGGACACAGTTGCCAGACTTTTACAAAAAGATGGTGTAAAACTTCATAATAATCTTAATGTCAACAGCCTAAGTGCTGTTAAATTGAGAGAGTAATGAAACTAAGAGCAGGATTTTTAAAGAAAGAAAAACATAAGATTCATAAACCACTAGAAAGAATCACTGAGAGAATGGGAAAACCTTAATTACTGAAATGAGAAATGAAAGGAGATGTCATAGCAGATATGACAGAAATGCAAAGGATCATTAAGGACTACTATGTTCTGTAAATGAGAGAACCTGGTATAAATTGATAAATTCTGGACTTCTACTCCCATGACTGATCCAAGAAGATATGTAACACCTGAACAGAAGTATCACAATCGAGGAAATGAAAATGGTAATCAAAATCTCCCCAAAGCAAAAGCCTAGGCTCAATAGATTCACTGTTGAGTTCTTTCAAACCTTTAGAGAAGAGTTATTGCTAATCCTTTTCAGGCTCTTTCAGGAAATTGCAGAAACTAAAGCACTCCCAAACAGTTCCTATGAATCAAACATTGTTAAACATTACCATGGTAGCAAAAACAAGCAGCACACATTACCAAACATTAGTTCCTATGAATCAAATATTACCAAACATTAGTTCCTATGAATCAAACATTACCAAACTTTACCATGATACCAAAAACAGACAGCACACAAGCACACGCGTGCACACACATGCACGTGCACACACACAATTACCAATATCTGTAATGAACAGATGCAAAATTTTTTTTAACAAAATACTAGCAAATTGAATCCAACAACTTATCAAAAAGATCATAGACCAAAACTAAATGGGATTCATACCAGGTATGTGAGGATGGTTTTTTTTTTTAATAATTTTTTTTAATTAGTGAAACACCATGAGGTACAGTTGTAGATTTACAATTTTTTGTGCTTGGGTTTGATTATACAATGATCAGATACCCATCCCTCCACCAGTGCCCATTTTCCACCACCATGGATAATATCCCCCCCACCCCCATCCCCCCATCTCCCCCTGCCTCTGTGGCAGGGCAATCCCCTGTGTTCTCTCTCTCCTTTTGGGTGTTGTGGTCTGCAAAAGAGGCATTGAGTGGCAAACATGTTCAGTCCATAGTCCACTTTTGACATGCATCTCCCCTCCTGGGAGGATCGTGAGGATGGTTTAACACATGCAATTCAATGTAATACACCATATCAATACAAGAAAAAATAAAAATCCTATGATCATATCAATAGATGCAAAGAAAGCATTTGACAAGATCAGTACCGATTTATCATTTTAAAAAGTAAATAAAAAATGGCAATTGAAGAAGCTTTCTTCAACATACTCAAGCCATTTACCATAAGATCACAGCAAACATTATATCTAATGAGGAAAAACTAAAAGCTGTCTCTCTAAGGCTTGTCCCAGAAGACAAGTTAAACCACTTTTATTCAGTATGTACTGGAAGTACTTGCCATAGCAATTAGGTAAGAAAAAGATACTACGGGCATTCATATAGGAATGGAAGAGTCCAGTCTTTCACTATTTGTAGCTGACATGTTAGTATATTTAGAAACCCTAAATACAGAAAAGCTCTTAGAAACAATAGGTTTGTGTAATAAAGTGGCAGGCTACAACATAAACACATAGAAGTCCATGGCTTTTTTACAAATAGTGAAGTAGAAGTGAGTGAAAGAGAGATTAAAGCATTCCCATTCACAACTGTGCCTCAGAAAATCAAGTACCTAAGGATCAGCTGAATTAAAGAGGTGACAATATGTAAAGGAAATGAAAGAGGAGGGGCTGGAGAGATAGTATAGCCAATTAGGAGATTGCCTTGCATGGGGCTGACCTAGGTTCTGTCTCCAGCATCTCTATGGTCCTTTGAGCACCACTGTACTAATTCCTGAGTGCATTGCTAGAAATAACCCCTCACAAATAAGTGCAAACACATTTCCTGCTCGTGGATGGGAAGGATTAACATTGTCAAATGTCAATGCTTCTCAAAGCATTATACAGATTCAGTGCAGTCTGTACAAGGCTACTTACCAATGACATTTTAAAAATAGATCAACCATTCCTGAAATTCAGATGGAACATTGCCACCCCAAACCTCCTTTCCCCAATAGACAAAGCAATTCTCAGGAAAAAAAAAGATGGTAGGCATCACTTTCTCCAACTTCAACCTGTTTAAGTTACAGGTTAGTAGTCATTAAAACAGTGTGGTACTGGAATAAAGGCAGACCCTCAAATTAATGGATTAAAAAGTCCAGAGAGAGATACTCAGGTATATGGTCAGTTATTCTTCAATAAAAGAGCAATAAATTTGAGTGGATCAAGGAAAATCTCTTTAGGAAGTAGTATTGGGAAAACTGGTTAGACAAATGCCAAAAAAAAAAAAAAATGAACTCATACCCCTTTCAAACACCATACACAAAAGTCAAATCACAGTAGATTAAGGACCTTAATATCAATCCTGAACCCATAGGCTACTTATAGGAAAAAAGGCAACCCTTTTTGATGTTGAAGCTAGCGGCATCTTTAAGGAGGCAATACCATTGGCCAAGCAGGTGGAAACAAAGATGAACAAATGGAACTACATTAGATTAAAAACTTTCAGCACCTAAAAGGAAATGATGTCCAGGATACAAAGATATCCCATAGACTGGGAGAATCTATTTCCCCACTAGTCATCTGATAGAGGGTTACTATCAAAGATATATAAAGTACTGGTAGAACTTAAAAAATTCTAACCCATCATAAACTGGAGATGATTAGAAATTTTCCCCAAAGAAGAAATAGAGGTGGACAAAAGTCATAAAAAATGTTGTGTATCACTAATTATGGAAATGCAAATCAAAACAATGAGGTATCTCATATCAGAAAAACCAGTACTCTTCACAAAGAACTACAACAACCATTGCAGCACTATACTTAATAGCCCAAATCTGGAAACAATCCAGGCGTCCCAGAACAGATGACTGTATAAAGAAGCTATGGTACATATACATGGTGGAATACACTGAGATGAAGTCATGCAATTTGATGATGCATGGATGGATTTGGAGACTACCACACTGACTGAAATGAGTCTGAGGGAGATCTTATTTATATGCAGGATATCTTGACGCATAAGGCTCGAGTGATCGCACAGCGGATAGGGCGTTTGCCTTGAGTGCAGCCAGCCCGGCCAAGCCAGGTTCGATTCTTCCAAGCCGGGTTCGATTCTTCCACTGCTCTTGGAGAGCCCGGCAAGCTACCGAGAGTATCTCGCCCACATGGCAAAACCTGGTGAGCTACTTGTTTAGTATTGGATATGCCCAACACAGTTACAACAAGTCTCATGATGGAGACGTTACTGGGCCCACTTGAGCAAATAGATGAACACGGGAGAACAGTGCAGTGCAGTGCTATATTGAAGCATAGTAGGGGAATACTTAATGCCTAAAGGCAAAAGAAATGAGCAGGACAACTGGTTCTTGGTAGGAATCTTTTCACCATGGGGAAAGGGGGTCAGGGACAGCCCGTATAATATTGATAAAGGAAGTGGACACTCTGGATGAAGATTGGGTGCTGAAAGGAGGTAAAGTGATATGCATGATACCCTATCAGTGATAATATTGTAACTAGAATGCCTCAAGGGAAAAAAAGAAAAAAAGTGTCATGGAGGGAGGCCAAGAAGTGGGAAGGAATCTGGAGAAACTTGGAGGGAAGCAGACACTGGCGAAGGGATTAGTGTCGGATCATTGTACTCCTTGAAAAGCAGTCAGAAATAACTTTGCAACCTTGTAATTTATTTAAAGAAGCAAATTCAATTAAAAGAGCAAAATTTTATTATATAAAAATAAAATGCTGCTGTTATATGCAGTTCATTAGGATGGATATGTGGCCAACACATTATTAATAGCTAAAAGGAGGGGACACATGGTGTAGCTAGTAACTAGTAGGAGGGGACACATGGTATAGCTAGTTTGAAATTGAGTAGTGATCAGCAAATGTAATAACATTTTAAAGAACTTTGTGATGGGACTGAGATCAGTAGATGGAGACAAGAGAGATTTTAATTCATATGAAATGAGAGAGATTGAAAGTACTAGGATGATAGTTGACAATGTTGTCCTTACAGGCAGGCAACAATGAAAACCGGAGTCTACTCTTAAAATGGGATGGAAGCAGAAATATATGTGCAAAGTAGTGGGAACTCTTATTTTTTCTGTCCTCTGATTTTCCTTTGATGTTAGAGATGATAGGACGTGGTATGTTAAGAACAATGAATAGAAAGACTTAGAAATAGTCATTGTAGAAAATGGGAGAAAGAGGAAACTGATGCTGAAAATATGAAAATATTTCTGGACCACATTGAGAATCCTGTAGACTTTGACAGAATTAATTTACAGTATATGATTATTTTTTCCTATTAGTATAAAACAGCTTATAGAGTAGCAATAAAAGTGCTTTAAATGTAGTTCTGGGATCTTTTAGCCAAAGAGTAATAGATAAAAGGGAGTGGAGATTATAAGAAAAAAGAATGACCTTGAAGTTGAAGTGAGCATTGGAATTTAAGTTCGACAGAGGGTTGATTCTGTATTGTATTGATTCATTTTGAATTGCAGGTTATCCTCAGTAATCATAATGGAGTCACACTTTAGGATGCCATTTTATGACAAGATGGAATTTCTGTGTAAGCTTATTTGCTGTACTACTCTTATCTATGACAGTAATACAGTTTTACTTGATGTCCTTTTCGTCCTAAATACCATGTGATTAACCTGCACTGGGTAAATGAAACTATAATTTGAAAACGGTGCGATTGTACTTTAGAAAACAATTAAATTTGATATTTTGATACAGTGTGAAACTGCAGTGCAACAGGAGTTTGCTGAAGAACTTCAAAAGCGAGAATGCTTTTTAATTGAAAGAGAACAACGGCTTTTCAGACATGAAGGTGCTTTGAGTAAAATCAAAGGTGTCAAAGAAGAGGTTCTAACAAAATTTCGTATTATAAAGGAGGTAACTATATAGTATTTTATTTTAGAGTAGTAATTTTTGTTTTTTTTATTTAGATTATTAGTGTTTCACCATATTTGCTTCATTTTACTTCTCCCCCACCCTCATTTTTTTTTTGTTGAAAGTAACTTAAAAAGATCATGATACAGCATCCCTACATATTTTTATCTTTAAAAAGCGATTTTTATTGAGGTACTGTGATTTGCAATTACTTTTCATGTATACTACATGCACAATTGACCCCTTAGGAGAGAGCCCACTTCTCTTTACCAGTAGGTTGCTTTGTAGACAAGAATCTTCAGTTCTGAGGACCTTGGCCATCTGTTTTCTCTTACTATGTTTCCTTTTATTGGTCATATGAAGAGATCTCTCCCTCTCTTTCTCCTTCTCTCTCTTCTGTGGCGGTAGTAATATCTACAAAAATCTGCAGTAATAGAGCTAATCTGAAATTCCCCCAAAATTGTTTCATGAATTAAGTTTTTAGAGACATATATAATTAAAGAATATTGTGGACAATTCTGTGCTAATACATTTTAGGATTTACATGAAATAGATAAAAGTTAAAGGTAAAGGCCCTCCCGTTGTTCATCGATTTGCTCGAGCGGGCCCAGTAACGTCTTCATTGGAGACTTTGTTGTTACTGTGTCTGGCATATCGAATACGTCATGGGGAGCTTGCCAGGCTCTGCTGTGCGGGCGAGATACACTCGGGAGCTTGCCGGGCTCTCCGAGAGGGGCGGAGGAATCGAACTCGGGTCGGCCATGTTGGCTGCATGCAAGGCAAACGCCCTACCGCTGTGCTATCGCTCCAGCCCTATAGATCCTATAAATTTAAAATTTACAGTGAAGAGAATTAAGAAAATTTAAAGGGAAAATCTGAAAAGGCCTGTAAAAGGATTTGTTTTTTCCTAAGAAAGGGAATATTGGTTTTATATTAGAAAATGTTATTGATATTGCCAAGTATCTGCATTAATAAGTAAAAGAAGTTAATTCATATAGAAAATGTATAAAATCCTTTAGCAAGCTGGGAGTAAACATACCTTTCTTGATCTGAATGATTATCTAGATTGATAGAGTGTTCTTGGTGATGTGTTCATTTCATTGAGTCTTTGTACTATATCCCTCCATTCTCTTCTGCCTCGTAGAATCTCATTTAATAGATCTGCTGTGAATCTTGAGGACTTTCTTTTGTAAGTTTCTTTTATGATCTCGGTGCTATGATCTTGCTTGCTCTGTCTGGATTTTATCATTCTGAGCATGATGTGTCTGGAATTTCTTTAGTTGAGTGTTTTTTCTTTGGGATCTTTCAGGCATCTGGTATTTTGCCATTTGTATTTCTAAACTCTGGGAAATTTTAAACTCATTTTGTTAATTGTTAGTTCTTTGTCAGATTTGCCTTCCTGGTCCTGATGATACTCATCCCATAGTTCTCTGGTATGCTGTTTCTTTCTTTTTGGTTATATTTCCATCTTCTGTTGTTTTCTACGGGTTTCCTCCGTTTCAGTCTTGGAGCTTCTCTCTCTATTCTTCAGCTGCCATTCTGCTGCTCAGAGTTTCTAATGAGTTGTTTTATTTATTTATTTTAATGGGGCTGGAGTGATAGCACAGCGGTAGGGCGTTTGCCTTGCACGCAGCCAACATGGCCGACCCGAGTTCGATTCCTCTGCCCCTCTCGGAGAGCCTGGCAAGCTACCGAGAGTATCTTGCCCGCACGACAGAGCCTGGCAAGCTTCCCATGACGTATTCGATATGCCAGACACAGTAACAACAAAGTCTCCAATGGAGACGTTACTGGGCCCGCTCGAGCAAATCGATGAACAACGGGAGGGCCTTTACTTTTTACTTTACTATTTATTTTAATATCACCTGTCATAGTCTTCATTTCTGTCATTTCTTCTTGTAGTTTCTTATTTTGGCTCTTATACTGTTGTGTGCTTTCCTTACTACCTGTTTGAGCTCATTAAACATCCTCATAATTAAGTTACTAAAATCATTTTCTAAGGGTGAGCTTGTTGATGTTGTTTGTACCTTCCTGTTGCTTGAATATTCATTCATTTGGAGGCGCTGACACAAGGAACGAAAAAGAAATTTATGTCATGGAGGACCCAGGTTCTCTCAGACCTGTGACAAAGGTAGAGAGCCTCAAATCTCCTTTTATTACCATCCTACAGTTGAATACAGTGAGGTCATCAACAAAGGAGTGACAGGAAGAACATGCGAAGCTGAAAGCTTTTCTACATACTGAAAACAAATAGGTACCTAGGATCTGCATACTGACAACAAACAGGCTAAGTAACCTATGTTCTGCATACTTACAACAAACAGGTTAAGTAACCTAGGATTTGCATACTGACAACAAACAGGTTAAGTAATCTAGGATCTGCATACTGACAAGAAACAGGTTAAGTAACCTTCAGGGATCTGTGAGAAAAGGACAACTGACAATTTCATTATACTGAAATTTATGAAATTATTTACTTAAGGCAGCCAAAAGAAAAAGATGTTCAACCTCGTCCAAACCAGTCAGGACACACGAGAAATCTCACCCACATTCATGGGTCCCTATGTTCCTGACCTTGTGTGGAGCAATTTACATGGGCTCATCCTGGTAGCTCAGTCCAGCCCCAACATCTTCCCTGTTACTGGTTTTGCTCGTTGGACTTGATGGTATTCTACATATCCTTCCCATTGATTTTCCAGTGTTCCTGCTGTGTCAAGGGTGAGTCTTAGTAGTTTGATTCCTCTTTGAGTCTCTGAAGAAGTAGGCTGAGAGTTGCTCCTTTCCTTCTGTACCTATCTTCACCCGGTGACAGGAAGTATAACTCTACTGTGTGGTCCTGCCTGCCTTCTGTTCAGAGTGTGGCCAGTGCTCTCTGATTTCACCTGGAAGTGTGGAACAACAGGCAGACATTCAGGAGCTATGGTGTGGGTCTTAATAGCCATTTTAATATGCTTTCCTCTGTGGACTGGATCCTGTCTGGCATGTAAGAAAATAGGTTTGCAGGAGCCAGAGAGATATTACAGTGGGCAGGGCCTTGCATTCAGCTGCTGTTTGAATCCCCAAGGACACCTGAGAAACAGAGCCAGCATTAAACCCCAAGGAAAAAACAAAACATTTTTGTAAACTCATCTCATTCAAAAGACCCACCCTCCTGGTACCAGATAAATACCTCACCAGCAGACCTTCACTACCTCCACTACCTCCGCTACATCCACTAACCAGCTGCCGCCATGCTCCAGGACACTTTCCAGATGCTCGAGCAGAGACTCACGCACGAGTGAAGCCTCACAGAATCAGGTAAGCGGAACTCTGAGACCTTGGACTCCAGGATCAATGGACCCGGGAACAGAGATCCTCTGCCTGCTCCCACCAACCACAGGTGACTAAGGGATTAAAACTAAGAGCCCCAAACTACCCTGATTTGTTGCTTCCACCAACCGCCGGCATCCCAGGGATTCTACACAGTAGACCCACCCTACTGGTACCAGATAAATACCTCACTGGCAGACCTCCACTACCTCCACTACCCAGCCACCACCACGCTCCAGAATGCTTTCTGGACCGACACATCATGACACTTAATACACATCTTCCAGAATTGTGCACCATATTTGATGATAGGGTTCAAATGTGGTTTGAACCATGGGATCACCTACAAGGGCAATTAGAGACCGCGCTAAAAGCCTCTATCTCTCTCGGAGAGCCTGGCAAGCTATCGAGAGTATCCTGCCCGCACGGCAGAGCATGGCAAGTTATCTGTAGCGTATTCGATATGCCAAAACCAGTATATACAATGGGTCTCATTCCCCTGACCCTGAAAACAAATACGGCAGCATTAAGAAGGATGAGGAAGATGAGGCTGATAAAATCTCAAGGCCGAACTAGGCCGCCAAAATGAAGAAAGACAAAAATGACTGTCTTTACTTTCAATGCACTTATGCTGGCATTGGATACATCCATCGAGGACCTGATGGTACAAGCGCAAAAAATCAGTACGACATCATTGTTCTGATCGAGACGAAAAGGCATCAGTCACATCATGCCTTTTTCGACACTGGAGAAGAACTATTCCTCAGAACATGTGACAGGAGGTGTTGGTGGTGTCGCTGTCCTTGTCAAAACGAACTTGACCATGAACATTAATTCATTCCAATGCCTAACAACCCAAATTGGACGATTACACTTGAATAGATGTGGCTCATTGCCAGCAGTTTCTATCTTCGTTGTCTATGCACCAAAGTCGTCCAACTATGATGAAGGAGAAATTGAGAACTTCTACATGGAGTTGGAGAAGTTCTATAAAAAAGACCACACCTTCTACAAGATCATTGTCGGTCATTTTAATGCCAAGATAGGACTGAGAAGATCAGCTGAAGAACTTCAAATCAGGATTCTTGGCCTAGAATGGAACGAACAGGGTGAGAGACTATCTGAGTTCATCATGTCGACTAAGACCATCCATGCTAACTCAGTTCCAGAAGGCTGAATCTAAAGGTTGGACATGGTAGTCTCCTGTGGACAGTTCCACAACGAAACTGACCGCATCATATTCAATTGATGGTCTTGCATAACTGATGTTGCTGTTGTCCCAAAATTTCAAATGGGATCGGACCACCATCTCCTTTGTGCAAAATTGTACTTCACAGAGCGGGGAGAAAGGGCTGCAAAGTTTCAGAAGAGAACTCCCAGAATGATCATCAACTGGGAGCTCTTTGGCACTATTGTGGCAACATGGGAAGATGCTATCGTTGACAACATTGACAAGGAATACAGTCGACTGGTTCAGCACATCCATGATTGTGCAAGGAACGCCAAGTAAGAGATAACCACAAAGAAAGCCTGTCTTCGAAAAATCTTGAGCTTATTTGCCAACCTGGCTTGGCACAAGCCTCAGGCAACCACAAGTGAATGTCCAAGCTCGCAAAGCTGTGCAGAGAAGCTATCAAGGAAGACCTCAAAGAGAGAAGAGCAGCAGTGCTGTCTGATGCGGCAAAAGCCATAAA